CTTTTATTCTTCAGATTAAAAAAAAAAGTGTAAAACTTGCCAATAACTCATTTAAAGCAGAGGAAAGAAAATAATGAAGAACTGGCTTGTAAGGATTTCTTCCCAAAAAATAGAACTGAAATAATTAATATTTACAAACAAGTAAACACGTATAGGTAACAAGAAGCCTAAGATTATGTTAGCTGGGGGGAGATTTAACTTATAAACCAGGACAGGGAGATTTAACTTATAAACCAGGACTTAGCTATGAGGCATTTGGAAAAAAATAGTGCTAATATCTATCTTATATCTATTACAGCCTTTATTCTTTAGTAAGCAGCTGTCAGAAATAAATAAAGTAATCTGCAACTACTCTGATCCATCCAATACACATACTTTCTTTTCCCTTTCTAGTGAAGTACTATGTGCTTAATAGCTTAGAAGGCTTCTGCTGCTGAAAGGGGTGTAGTAGCCAACTCTGGATATAAATTAGTGATGTTTCAGCCTTGCCGTTGTATTAGAATCCAAGTAGTTAATGAAATTTCCATGAGTCCTTTGAAAATATTTTGAATTCCTGTCCTCTGTCTCTCAGCTGATGATTTGTTACTATTTCAGAGATTTACATAGATAATGTACTAAAAACCTTTAATAGAATAAAACATCTGAAAAGAATGGAACAGTAAAATCGGGACAGTAGAAAGGGATTATTATCAAAGTCTTATGTTTCTATATAAGTAACTAGAAAATGTCAGTACTTAAAAGCATGACCCATGTAACTGAATTATATGAACTCTATTTGAAAATTAAAGGAGAAAAATGAGTCTTGGATGGCAGCCTTCTTCCTTTGTATGAGACTCTGAAAACATTCACAAGTGTGCTTGTATATTAGAAGAAAGATCAGTTCTGAATAGTTGTACTCAAACCTTCAGCTCACTTGTTCTCTTCTGTTTGTTTTTTTTACCAGATGAAACAAGTTTGAGCTCTGAGAGTTCTGCAGTGTCCTAGTGTGAGCCAGAATGTACAGTCTGGCTTCTTTCCTACTTCTAATGAGGAACTAAATTGATAAGTGATATTTTGGTCTGGTATGAGATCTCTGACAAGGTAGAAATGAGATTTCCCCTTTAAATTACCAACAATTTTTTATTGAAAGTGCATTGTGCGGGGTTCCCCCCCCCAGGTTTGGCTGGGTTTGGTTTTTTTAATTCTGTGCTTAGTTTTAGGCCCCAAACAAATTATTGTTAAAAAGAAACAAACAATTGTTGTTGTTTCTTCTTCATTGACTTGAAGTCCTCTTAAAGGTGCTGTGGATTTTCTTGTTCTGCCTGTGTTACTAAATGGAAAAGCTTCAAGGAAACTGAAGAGGTGAAATAGAAGTCAGACAGGTTTTGCAATACGTTATGGAGTGGATTCTGCAATTAAAATTGTTAACCATTAAAATGATCTGCTGTGTAATGTCTTGCTGAAACCCTTAGCTAAGGAACTAGACGCAATAACCTTGTTCTGAGCAGGTTTTAGATGAGGCTGACAGAATGTTGGATATGGGATTTGAACCCCAGATAATGAAGATCCTAATAGATGTGCGGCCTGACAGACAAACTGTTATGACAAGGTATGTAAACATAATAGTGCTCAGTACCTGAACACTGTAAACATAAGGTTATTGAACAATGTAACTTCAAAACAAATGTGTCAGTCTTAATAAGACTTTTACTAGCTTAAATCGGAATGGGATCAGTTTTCTTTCTAATTCTGTCTAGTCAGTCCTAATGAGTCATTTGACAATTTTATTTTCATTTTTATCCCTTTTCTGATGTTTTACATCAACTATAAAAACAACTGAGTTCTTCCCAAAAAAAGAAGGTGTCCTGGGAGTGCTAGAATTTGCCATATCAAGTTGAAATGCCAACTTCCACTTCTACATCTGGGACCAAACATGTATGAGTACCAAACATGATCAGTATGTGTGCTAGTCTGTACCTGGATTAATTTTCAAATTATGCATCTTTTGGGAGCTTAACAATAGAATATCCCAACAATAATTTTTGTTACCATATTTTGCATTAGAGCTATTGTTTTAGAGATAAAAACAGACTGGAAGCTTAGTTATTATGTATCATTGAACTCACTAGAAAGTTTCTTTAAAGCTTGAGTGCTCTTTACTAATAACGTCTTAAGATTATTCCTAAATGTTACATAAGATCACTACTGCTTTGCTTACTTAAGTGTTTCACTGGTGTATAAGAAAGAAAGAAGAATGTGGTGATATTAATGAATTGGAGAAGATTTTTGGACTCAGTTCTCCTGTGTGTGTTTTCACCTCCTGTTTAGTGCTACTTGGCCTGCTGGTGTTCGTCGCCTAGCAAAATCCTATTTGAAAAATCCTATGATTGTATATGTTGGCACTCTTGACTTAGCAGTAAGTTGTTCTGTTCTTCTTTTTATTACTATTATTATTTTCTTTGTGAGAAGAACCTACAGTTAAAGCAGGAACTATTTTGCTTGTAAATACATATAACTCAAAAATCAATCTGAACTTTCAAAAAACAGATCCATATTATTCTTTTAAAGCTTCATTAAAAGTTTAGAAAGAACAAGGCGGGGGGGGAAGTAGGAAAGGACTTTGTTCCTGTATTTCTGTAACAAGATCTTGAAGTCCTAGATCTTCAATAGAAGACATCACAAGCGACAAATATCAATCCAATTGAAGTTTGGATATTGCACTTTGCGGTGTCACGTGTTCTTGCCTGAACCCTTGTTTTTGCAGCATTCACTTCTTTTCAGCAAGTTCTTTTTCCTTCCTTCCTTTTCCTTCTGAAGATTGTCTTTATAATGCATACAGATGTTTGCCTGGATCTGTGTTTCTTAACTGCTGCTTTCTCAGAGAGAGTAAAAGCTCTTTATTAAACTCCTGGAGGGCGGTTGTCTAGAGCAGGAACAGTATATGTTAAAGTAAGAATTGCCCTTAAAGTCCAAAACTTCTAATAGGTAGATATATTTGCACACTTGTCATGCTTGTGCAGCTATGTGTAGTTGGCTTCAGTACCAGCAGAATTTACAGAAACAGTAGTTCTTCCAAGATCTCCGCATCCTTGTCCAGAGATTGCTTTGAGTTTGGTTATTACATTATGGAATTTTTCTTTTCAGTTCCACTTTTTTAGTGATAGGGAATGAGGAAACTTAGTATCCAATATGTTTTTAGGTAGAAATAAGGGGAAAATATGCTTTTCCTCTGTTCTGTTCAGAACTATGCTTTTGTCAAAGGGTGTTACTTGTCAGAGACAGATTGGAATTTGAAAGATGTCAACTGCTGTTGTAGTGCCCTTGCCTAATGCATTCATCTCGTTTATAGGATCTTGTCTTAATTGAAGAGGTTACCCATGGGGGTGGGGGGGGAAGGGTTCCCATGTGGAGATAATCTTTCTATGTACTTGATTGATTCTTCAGCCCTTGCCACAAGATTATGATGCAGTGCCATACAAATGTTTAGACTTTTATACTACTTATGTAGTGTACCTTAAACATTCTATGGCAACCTTCAAATATAATGGATTAATGTTTATTAACAAGCTGTTGTTGGAAGAATTGGACAGAACTGATCATTTCAAATAGATTACAGAAACTTCTTCAAAAGGTTGTCCTTTTAAGTCAGACAGCTTGTCTTGTTCCAATTTGCTCTGGATTAACATAAAATACATGTAAAGTACTCCAATCTGATTTTCACTAACAGTAGGAATATGTATTTCCCCTTACTAGTCTGCTAATCTGTGCCCTCTAAATATTTGCAAATACATGACCTAGCAAACTGCTTAAAGATAAATTTTACTATTCTCCTAAAGCCACTAGGAAATACCAACTCTGCATTGTTTGAACTCCAAACTGATAACTGTTTTAGTTTTTCATGGCATCATATTACTAGTTATATGTATATATATGTATAGTTTTGTAATATCGTAGTATGGGAATTAACAGAAAACATATTATTCTAATCTGTTTCTACTTAAAATCCCTTTTTTCTGTTTAACAGGCAGTAAATACAGTAGAACAGAGAGTTATTGTTATCGCCGAGGAGGAAAAGAGAGCTTTCATGCAATCCTTCATTGACTCTATGAAGCCAAAAGATAAGGTCATCATTTTTGTGGGAAAAAAACTTACGTATGTAATCACTTCCCAGTACTACATCTGTTCATTTTTTTAGCAGAAATACTGGATAGTTTCTCAGTTCACATAATAATTACCAAGTGTAACAGCTGTTGTCAGCAATGTGCTGGCAGTAGTAGTACTTTTTTATATATATTTATTCATTCATTCCTCCAAACTGACTGGTAGTTTGTATCCTTTTTAATATCATTAACTACGTGAAATTGAGATTTACCACCACCACTAAAGTAGACTTTAAGATTCTTGGGGATACATTAATGTGATGTACTGTTTACTTTCATACACAGCTGGTGCATACAAGACCTGATTGGTGCCAAGGGGTGGTCATTGTAGCATACCTGAGCTCTTTCAGTGAACAACACAAAAATCATCTATTATTTTGCTTATGTATGAATGAAAGCAAATGTTTATGTGGGGAATAGTCTTGTTTTCATACTGTTTTATAATAAATATCAGCTCACCTAGGTAGGGTTTTGTCCTTAGGCACACATTTAGCTTTTGTTGTCACTTTATTATCTTTTGGATCAAAATCTAGATGCCGCATTTCTTTTTTTCTTTTTCTTTCTAAGAACCATTGTTTTATTTCGTCCTAGAGCTGATGACTTAGCAAGCGACTTTGGTCTCCTAGGAATTCCAGTACAGTCACTTCATGGTAACAGGGAACAGCGTGATCGAGAACAGGCTTTAGATGACTTCAAGAATGGTATGTTTGTACCTAAGTACTGGTTTGTTTAGCCCAGATTTTTAAAGCTTGTCACGTGCGGAACTTTTGTAAGTGCCATGTCTCTTGAGTACCATAGAAGTGAAAATATTAAAGAGCACTGAATTATGTTTATGTTTTTTAATTTGACAAACAAAAAAAACAGCAAACAAAGAAAGGTTGCTCTTCGATAAAAATTGGAATGTCAAAGAGTTAAATAATTTAAAGTAAGGCTTATTTTATTTTTTAAATTGCTGTTGAAAAGTCAATATCTTGTTAGTCTACAGAACTGTAAATTTAAGTGTCCAGTGATGGTGCTTTCAGTGAAAAACTTCTGCTCGTGATTATGCCAGTGCAGTTATACTTTGGGGTTTTGGGGTTACACACTAATAAAACAAAGAGTAGTACTATGATAAGGATGCCAGCTGAGAATTTAGTTGTTGAAGTTTCTGTTCTTTTCGCAGACTTCATAGCAGCTAGGCATGTCTCTTGGTTCTCCTGCAACCTGCTGTTCTACTTGTGAGTTACAAGTAACAGTAAAATGACATTTTGACTGCTTACTTACCACCTTGTATTTAAAGCTAACTCGGTGTGACATGCAACAAGCATATTTTTCCTTTATGTTTAATGAATAAGTGCCTCGTACACTAGAAAGCCCCTGTTTATTCCATAAATTCCCATTCTCTTTTTGTTGTGCTTGTTTCAGGCAAAGTCAGAATACTGGTAGCTACTGACCTAGCGTCCCGTGGCCTTGATGTGCATGATATTACTCATGTTTTTAACTTTGACTTCCCTCGCAACATTGAAGAATATGTTCATAGAGTAGGTCGTACTGGAAGAGCAGGGTAAGTGTTCACAAGAAAGAAGTAAGATATTGTCAATATTTTATGCACTGCATAGGCGTTTCTCTTGTCAAATGCTGGAGCTACAGGTGATGTGGAGTGGGGGAGTAAAGACTCCAGAGCCTATCAAAGTATGCTTTAGATAATAATGCATTGGTTTGTTTTGAAGTTAGTTCACTGTTAAATTTAAGACAAACAGGTTTTCCACTATTCTGTTATTTCATTGAATGAGGGATGTTTGAAAGCTGGTTTAAATGTGGGGAAGAATTACAGTTCAAAACAACTTCTGTGTAGATATTCTGAAATGTCACTTCCTTGTTTATCTCTTTGTGAGCTGCTGAGTTGTTTAGTTTCCTAGACAGCCTGTTGGGGAAAAAAAACATACATAAATTCAAAGTTTTCAGCCTATCATGGTGGCATAGTTTGGTGTTGGGACTTTTGAATCGTGCTTTCCCAAGTTGGCAGAAGTATGATTTTTCTTGTGTATGTGTTTATTGTAGTTATGATATGAATGTATGTCTCTTCATACTTAAATATATTCTCTAAAAGTTTGAATTGGTTATGCCTTTCCTCCATTTTAGGTGAATTGCCATATTCTGACCTTTATAGAAAGTTGCTTTCTGTCATGTGCATAGTAAATATTCAAGCCAGTTTTATCTACCAGTTCAATAATAGTGCCTGTAGTACAATTTGTTACTATATAGGTCGGCAGAAAAAGCCTAGCAGCAGTTGTTTTGAAGATCAACAGTTATTTCATTCCTTGTTTAGACGTACTGGGGAGGCAGTAACGCTTGTCACTAAGAATGATTGGAGGGTCGCATCTGAGCTGATTGAAATTCTGGAAAGAGCAAATCAAGTAAGAATACGTCTTACTGGGTAAGATTTATATTAGTTGAGGGCTACCACCTGAAGCCATTTATGAAGGTCTAAGCCTACTTAGACCTTTCTTGGTGAGTGTTTGTAGTGTCTCGGGCAAAAAATGGGTACTTGAGTCTCTCTTGTCCTGGATATACTTAGCTGTATTTTACCTTACACGAGTCCCAGAAAAGAACCGGGAACTTTAATCAAAGCCTTCCATGTCCAAAGAAAAGGTGACTAACATGTGCACATAGAGGTCTGCAGAGGAATAGTAAGATCTATTTTATTTCATAGTATTTTATTCCATTTGTATTTCACTTCTTGTTTGACAATGTATAATATATATTATATAAATATAATAATATTTATATCAAAAGCTGAAGTATCTACCAGTTTATTATATTTGACACTCGTGATATCTGCATATATTTTTCCAAGCTGTATTTCTTACAGGCATTTCTAAATAGTATGGGAAATAGGACTGGAATTTGATTTGTTTCTTTATTTTAAAGAAACATGGTTGGTGTTTTTTCTTGCTACCATATCTGAGAAATGAGAGACAATTATGTTGCTGTTTTTTTTCTGTAACAAGAAACAGTATTTTGCCTGATTTATAGTAAACCCCTAGTTCATTCCCTGACTAGAGTTGAAAATTTTATTTTTTTTTTTTTATTTGGGGGGGATGGAAGTTTCATGAATACTAACTAAATTGCTTTTACCTAGGACCTGTGGTTGTTATTGTGGCCACTTACTTAAACTTTAAACCCTGAGTTAGAACTTTACCTAAATCTTCTGTTTTACAACTCCTCTTCGAAAGATGTTATGCCACTTATTGCAAACCTGATAAGATGCTTTAGAGGGAGGAAAAATAAAAATTAAAAAAAAATATATTATTCCCTAATAATTTCTTGAAATTGCAGGTTTTGGTTTTTGTTTGGGGTGGGTTTTTTTTCTTCAGGAAATGTAAGAGATGAAACCAGTAGTGATAACTTGAAGCCACTTAAATATAACTTAGAAGTACCTTGTTCTGTATTCCAAGTCAGCTGCTACTGTCTCCTGCTGCAGACTGGGAATGGGTCTCTGAGTTCAGAGGAGAAAAGAGCATCTCTGAATCCTTACTTTCAAGGGTAACTGTTAGCCAAAACATTCTTCTCAAACTTTTAGTTGCAGCTGATGGAAGTATCCATACAGGCAGGTTTGGGTTTTTTTCATTTTCCTCATGACAATGAAAATACCATCACTGCAGTCTTCAAGCATCATGTAAAAGGGAAGGAGAGCAACTGAAGACATGGTCTAAGGGTTCAGAATACTTCAAAACAAATAAGGTGCATTTGTAAGCCAAATGTGTTCCATGATTTTGAATGTACAGATAATTGTCCAAAAGAAAAACAGGCACAAAAAAAGACTACTGTATCATGCTGCAGGGATCTTATTTATAAAAGCTTATTAAGAAGCATGGACAGATTTTTTAGGGAATGAGGTGGGAAAACACTGATCACTGTAATACAAAGAGGAGTAATACATATAAATTATGGCATCTTTATCCTTTTCTCTTTTCTCATTTGGACTATTGTACCTAGCTTATATGTTTAGCAGATACACAGATTGTCCATGCAAAAATCCTAACAAACCACTAGATGCTGTTCCATATCCTGGCTTCTTCCCGCTCTTTCCTTGTGCCTGCTCAAAAACCACTCCTGCAAGAAATTGTTGCATTTTTGTTGGAAGAAATTCTGTGTCGTGCTGTAAGAGAGGATCTGATACTGAGGAAGAAAATTATCCAGTGTTTCAGCTGGATAGCAATGTTGTACCAATAGAGACAGAGGTAATGAGACAAGTCTGTAGTGACTTTCAGGTAGAGAGATGCATCATTTTTCACTTTATTTTTAAACAATGTCTGAAACTTAAGCAGAATAGACTGTTCCATAGCCATCCTGTTCTATGCACTCCTGACAACCAGGGCAGTTGTTTACCAATAAGAACAATTCAGCAGATAAAATATATACTAGCAAGTTGACTTTCATGCCAGCTTAAGAAAAGTTGCTGATAGCAAATGGCAAGTATTGCTGAATTATAAAGCCTGACAAAAGAAGTTGGAAATGGAGGAATACACTTTTTTCCTCCACCAGGCCCTCTCTCCGGGCTGCATTCTTCACCTGCTCAAGCATTGCCAGGTCTAGGCACTTCTAAGGAAACTTAACAGTTCTTAAATTTGTTTGTACTGTACTGTTGGCAACTGTGTTGTGCCACTCACAGAGGGCAAACCACAGAGCCTGAGCAATCGCATTAATACCGTGCTTGCAAACGCTGCAGAAGCTTGCTTTTTGCTGTGATCAGGAAGCTGATTCAGATCTGGGTGTCTTCTACCTGCTACGTGCTGTCGCAGGTTGTTGAAGCAGGCTGGTTTTGATAGATTAGTGATCTAAAACTTCTTCTGACGGTACAGTCGCCCATACTGCTTTTTGCAGTAAATATTGCGTTATCTGCATTATGCCTCATCCGGTTCAAGAAGACTTGTTGGACACTGCCTTTGTTCCATGATCTATAAGAATGGTATACGGTTATTTTTCTTTAATTCAGTGACCCATGTCACTCAACCTAATAAAGTCTGTCTGTAATTCTTTGAGTCTGGCCTCAGTCCTTATGAACATGAGTAACTCTGAGGTAGCAAAGTGTGCTAATGGTACTATTACCTTCTTTTCCACGTAATTACAAACATGCCAGAAAGCACCGTGAATCTTGATAACATGCTCACATGACCTCCCAGCAGTGTGAGAACTGACTGCTTTCTCCTGCCCTTCTTTTCACATTTTCTAGCTTTGTTTTATCCACATGAGAACCCTTCCTATAGCAATGCTTTCTTCCAGTGCCAAAGTTTCTCTTCAGAGGCTCTTAAAACTTAGTATTTATTCTAATAGTGCAACATTCAAAGGTATATAGTATGGTATCACCTTTTAGTGGCATTGTACGTTTTTTTCAGCTGTTCGTTATCACCAAAAGATACATTTCTATCTGAAGTACCTATCTGAAATACCGGATGTTTTAATTACCTATATGTCATCATCAGATACGGTGATATATAGTTGAAAATTTAAGAACACTGTGCTGATTATTTTTCAGTGTATCTCAGTATAATTTTATGTTAAAAGATTTATCTGTGCATCTGTACAGAAAAGACAATCTGCAAAGTGACAGGAGCCAGAAAAATAACAAAATCAAGTTTGGGAACACACAAATCAATAGCATTTTTGTAAAGCAGAGTCTAAAAGTTTAGATTTATTTAAAACTGACCTTGTTGTATTGTGCTTTCTTATCAGGTAGTTCCTGACGAGCTTATTGCAATGGCAGAAAGATATAAACAATTTCAAATCAGAAAAGGAATTGAAAGGGATATAGGAAAGCCTCAGAGAAAGCCTTCAAAATAACTGTTAAAGTTACTGAAATAAAGTAAGTGATTGTAATTAGTGTTAGCCTCAATGGGCTTAAACTGAGAAGTTTCTTTTCTTGGTTTATTATTCTCTGTACCTGTCCTATTTAAATAAAATGTGGTTTTAAAAGTGGCTTAGAGAAGAAAACTGGATTAACTTTATATAGAAATAAATCTAGTTTTGCACTTGGATGCTATTTTCACGTAAGAAAATTGATATCATTTTTACTTGTGTGATATGCATAACTTCTAAAGTAGTTATCTACTGGTTAAAAACAAATATTGTGGGTTTCTTTGGTGTTTTTTTTATTTCAATTACATGCAGTATTAATATATAAGAATGTAAAATACAATTTTTCCTTTTATTTTCAGAGAACTGGATTAGTGAATTTAAGCAATATTTGTTGATGTGGCTTCAAAATACTGTACTTTTGCATTGATATGCCAGATCTGCGAGTGGCATGCAGAAATATTTCCAAGGATAACTTAGTTATTTGAAAACTGCTGTCTTTGCAGTAACTGGTGTTTACTGAAGCAAGTATTTATTTATTTATTTTTTATTTTAAAGCTTAACATTGAAAGTCATTTTTGTTAACACCTGTGTCTCAAGCTTTTTTTGAGAAGTCTGCATTTCCTCCTGATGGAAGAGGGCATAGCAAGAAGTATGTGTTCGTGGCTAACTGGAAAAAAACCCAACTGCTTCTCTTGTTCTCATGGATGTAATTTTCTAGCTTAAGCAAGAAAAACAGAGTTTAGGAGAGCAATGTTAATAAACTCATGAAGAAGAAACACATTTGAAGGTCAGCTTTTATTTCTTTCAGACAAAGTTGATTCAAATGTTACACTTGGCTGTCAGGTTCTGTCACACAGACTGCTAACGATAATAGGGTATGTTTTCACTCTTTGGAAGTTATATAAGAAGGAGCTATTCCTTCATTTGACACTTGGTCTGAAATTGTGTTTATTCATCTGTAATATGAGCGAATGAAAAACTAGTAAACTGAATCTAGCAAGATGAGAATATTTTAATAAAATGATTGTCTAAATGGTCTTTTGGCCTTCCTCTTTTCTATTTGCTCATAATTGAAGTTATTTTGCCTTCAAAAAGTAGGCTAAAACTATGGACCTCCCATGGCTTCTTTAAGAAAAAGCAAAAGATGTATTTACTTAAGGCACAGTAGTTCCCAAATGCTGTGTAATTATCACCCACATAATTTTAGTAATAGGAAATATTACAATTATTCTTTTTTTCCTAACATACATACTCTTCAACATAAGAAAAATTGAGCTGAATACTGATTCAGAGAATGTCAGATTCATGCTGTGTTTTGGTTTTGATAACATTTCACGTGGAGACTCTTCCTTCTTGATATGGGTTGAAGATACATTTCTTTCTACAAGATCTGTCACGCAAATGCTCGTTGGCACAATAACTTTTACTGTGTTGCAGCACATTAGATGATTCCTTCCTGCCCAAAGTTCAGTGAAAAGGCTGATTTCCAAAGCGAGTCCGAAGACTCTGGAAAGATGAGTTACTCCAGGAACTTCATATTGTTTTGATACCATATTCTCTCTCTCTGCTTACTGTTGCTGGTGATTGTCCTCTGCAAAAGGTCTTCACCCACCCAGCTGATCTGGAGAAGTTGTTGTGGTTTGTGTCAAAGTAACTCCAGTGACTTTTTCTTTTGAAAGCAAGAGTGTATTTTGGATACTCTGCAGAGGGTGGATCTTTATTTTAAATAAAATTGTTGGTTTTCACTTTAACTGGACATCGATGCCTTTATATTTGGAATCGTAGAAATTACACGTGGGAAATTAACTATTGCAAATTCTTCTACATGTTCTTAGTATACCTTGGAGCTATTTTGCAGGTAACATGTATGTTTGGATAGGGAAGATAAATATTACTTAAAACATCCTATTTCTTTTAAGGGTTATGGTTAAACAGTGTGACTGAAGTATGCAATTTTTGTAGTGTTCTTGATTTTTGTTTTGTTTTTTTTTTTTTTGTAGTATCAGACTACCGAGGAGTAACTTAAGGTGCAGAACTTCTGGTTTTAAATATGCAAAATTACACAATTATATAGTTACTGTAAACAATGTTTTTAATACTTCTCCTGAAATATTGGGAATCTGTTGTTCAATTGATAGTTTATTTGTCTTGAAAGGAAATCATTGCTTGCTTTATCTTCCAGGCTAAGCAAGTTGTATTGGGGAATAAAAAAGTGTGGCAGGTGACATGTTTGCAGGCAATCCAGAAAATATCCCAGAGATCTCTGAAAGCAGTGTTCCAGGTCTCCCAAATGCCAGTCTGTGTCATTTGGCCACATGACACACGAGTGGAAAAAAGCAGTTTTGACATGATATGAACAGAATTTTTCCAGTTCTTTTGTATACTTCATTTTAAGCTGCTCTAGAAGATACTTCAGAAGCTTAAGACAACCTTTCCTGTTAAATAAATAAGAATTTATTAGGTACCTGTCAGTTCTAAACATGTAGTCATGAAAGTAATAAAAATGTTCTGACACTAATAGAATAACATTTTTAATAATGTTTTGAATAAAAATTGAAAATAAGTGCAACACTAGGCTGGATAATCCTTGAACTACTGTGTATGAAGTCAGATTCCAGCAATGAAGGATCTTAAAACAGCAGGTTTTGTGCATGCACTGCTTTCACTGGTAGTCGCAGCAGCACAGAAATACAAAGTGTTGGGCAGCAGTGTCCTTAGACAGCGCAGCCTCCCAGCTGCAGGTGCTACCAGTATAACGTGACCTCAAAGCACTGCTTAAGATTAAAGCTGCTTTTTTGGCTTGGGTTTACTCTGAAGGAAATGCCACTACCTTCCTGTGGCACACCATGATGCGGGGGGGTATGTATAGTTTAATACACTGCTAGGCAGGTAGGGTCTGGTAATATTCATAAAGCAAAGACAAAGAATTACGCATCAGTTCTTTTGTGACTTTCTTAATTCAGTACAAGATGTAATTAAGTAAACTAAGAAGTTCGTTTGCCATTAAGGAGGTTCTGTACCTCACATGGGTTTTCTTCTTTCTCTTCAGAGAAATGTGGAAACCAGTTTGTATTGAAGTGAAAAATCACATTTCTTCATCCTGATCCCATTCAGCAGTTCTTTTCTCATCATCATTTTAGAAATCGCTTTGGTATGAAGTATAATTTTGCTGCCAAAGCTCAGAAAGCTGAGTTATCAAACCTTTAAGCTGGTTATTCTAAACAGGACTGAGTTTGGGACAGATTAACAAGTTGCAGCTTTTAGCTTTCTAAGGCAAGTCTGGAGTGTAAACCTGTAATGTAATTTGTTTCCACCTCTTGTTGAGTAAATGCAAGTCAGACGTTCAGCAAGTACATGCAATGTTGTACTCCTATGGAACAGCGATGCCTTAAAAGCCTTATTGCTCCCTATTATGAGTAATTAGTCTTAGATCAAATTTGTAAATGTTAAACCAAAACGGTGCCAGTTGTCTGGCTCACGTAGGCTTCAAGTAGAATATTGATATGAAATACCAACCTACAGCACTTTGGTCCATCAGATTCACAACAAGTCTTTGAGCTGCCGTGGTTGTTCAGCATGGCCTTCTCGATGTGCGAGAAGGAGAGCCGCCAGGTGTTTCCTAAAGTTGAGGACAAGATTGTTAAATTGTTACATAGCAGTAAGTACCAGTGTCTGTAACTAGAAAAAAATACACTTTATAATTGGCTTAATTTTCAATATCAGCATGCTCTTTGCACTTAAAAAAAAAAAAAAATTAATTCAGTGACTACAAATAGTTAATTCCTCCTTAATTCCCCAGCTGCTCCACACAAAGACAATCAGAATGTTATTAACAATAGGACATAGTTAATTGTTTGGATGCTTTAATGATAGTCTTAAGGATGTTTGGGTTTACTTTAAAATTAAGCTTAATTCTGAACCTTCCTGCATTTGTTGGACATGATTTGGGGCATTACACTACTCATAGCAATCTGTTACCTTTGAATTTGTGTTCTGTATTAGGCTTACTGCATCACCGGTCTGGTTTTGAATTTAAAAAAAATCTTCACCATTGGTTTCAATTTCTTTGTGCAAGTAATACGCTTGTGAGTTTATCTCGGGTAAGGTGGCTGTGCAAAGCATTTATTTTTGCTCTGCTGGTAATGTTTCTGAAAACAATGATTGACATAGCTCAACCCCCGGGTTTTAAAACAGCAGCAATCATTTTTGTCTTCCTTACTTAAGTCAGATCGTTTCCCTTGCTGGTTTGGTACAGTTAGTCTTTGCATTTAATTTTCACAGAAAGTGATAGCCCAGTAGAGCAGTAACGATTTATTTGGTGGTGTTAAGATGGGCATGCTAATTTTTAAAAAAAAATACCAGATTGCCTGAACTCTTTTGGTTGAAATCATCGATTCTCATAACGCAATGACAAGTTGGGATGTTTCTGCAAGCTAGTGTAGGCTTGGTGTGGCAGAGGTCTGGAGAAAAAGAAATAAAACGTTGTAGCCGTACCAGAGTTCAATGAGAAACAACGTATCTCACTCGAAAAGTACACAGTTTACTTCCCTCAGAAGTGTGTAACTTGTGTGTACAGTCCCACTTACAGGGACGTTCCCTGCCTTTTTAGAAATTTTTTTTTCCTTCCAAAGCAAAGGAGTGGATGTTGCTGTTAAGTACCCCACGAGCAGAGGAAAGGTTCATATCCATGCATCTAACTTAGCAGATTTAATATAATGCTCTTATAAGTAGTTAGTATACAGCCTGGCAGTGCAGTTTAGTCTTTAGGTGCCAGTACAGAAAAAGCGGTGTCACAAATCTGATGTTTTAAACAGGGATTTCAATTGTCTTTGATCTGGATAGATCCAGGATAAGGTAAAGATCCGTACTGCGAAGGCAGGATACTGAACAGAACCTGATCACTGACAAGTTGTAGAAGATATTTCATAATTTAGGCTTATTGTCTGTATTTGAGGTACCTCTTAGAACCTTTTCTTTTTTGTTTT